AGAACATGGACACTCCTTTCGTAGACCCACCATTTCCATCTTCCTCGACCTGAAGGCGATTTTCAACTGAGTCATGAAGGCGCACAAACCATCACGCCGCGCCAAAGTGCAGTTACTTTGTGATGGGCCCCCTTCACCGTCCACGACAAACTCGATGCAGCAGGTCATAGGCGCTATGTTGCTCTTAGTCTCACATGAAACTATAAGTGCGTGAGGACGAAGCTATGGAAACCAGCTTGTTTGAATCTCACGATTAGTAGGTCATGATTGATTTTATCCATCCCCCAGATACACACCGTTATAAATAATACCTTTTAACCTCTGCAAACGTTCCGAAAGCTGTTGATGGAATGCAGCTCTCCACTCACTATACATTCCTCAATTTCCAATTTTCGTCACCTCGATCTATTCTCATGTGGTCACATTCGTATTTTGTAGGCAGTAGGTTGTTTTTAGAGTTCACATCACAGTAATGATAGTGTTTTCTGGTTTGAAAGCTGTTTGAGCACATCACCTATAGAGTTAAAGAGAAAAATATGCGCAAAACAGCATTCATGGTTCGATTTGACTTTCTTATGAATTTTCTAGGGGAACAGTTACTGACAGTATTACTCTAAATCACAAGGCCGACGCAACCCATAGTAATCAGCCATGTTTAGCCCCGCATAGATATCCGTCTCTGTCAATACTTCCAGCACGTAATAACCAGCATCTTGGTGACGGTGAACTGCTTAAGAAACAAGAGTATTCCACACTCTCACTTTCAATGCATAACCGATTTAGAATGTTCTTTGCATTTCGCAACTGTATTAGGTTTTCTAGTGTTCTCTGGTTCAGGCATTGATGTCATCCTTTAAACTGGGTCTTTGATCGCCAAACAAGATTTACAGATGATGGCCTGTCTGTTCAGGGTCACCCAGGATGTGACCGGTGAAGAATACTTCTGCTTGTGGATAAGCCGGTTATCGAATCTCAACTATGTAAAGCGCAAAGATGAAATCGACTTAATGAGAATGTTTTAAACCAACTCTCACTATATTACAGACACTACTTGAAAATTATTCGAGTGCATGTGCCACGTGACTTGCTCAGACACCTAGAAAACATTAGGCGTATCCGATAAACGGGCACTGTTAAACGATAACAAAATTGATCAAACGATTTTGCTCAGCACAAACGACTTGGGTACTCACCAGGAGACATCGTTTAGCGGCTTTTCGAACATCTTCAATTATGTTCACAGCGACCTCTTCAGACAACAATGAACCTTCGTAATCGTTCATGTCCCGTTCTCCGGGCGCGATATGAAGTTTTGCTCGTAAATCCCGCTTCAAATCCGCAAGTCTGAAAAAAAACGGATTTGGTGAGTCGTATCCGCCAAGCGAAGCGATTTGCTTATAGCTGAGGTGACATCTTGGTCATACATAAACTGGTTTGTCAGGAGTTTTACTGGAATTTTATTCCGAATAGAAATATCTAAATCTAAATTGACGCATGTTCAAGTGATTTATCAGGAATACAATCGACGCCATGACTTTGAATAACACTTAAAGGAAGGTAATGGGACGGTAGTTAGCGGGGGACAGTCACATTTGTTAACGGGTGAAATTATACCCCAGTTCCAAGATTTCTGTAGGACTGAATTTTGCTTCTAGGTGGTAAACTGTCTGATCCGTAGTATGCACTGGACACTGCGTTACCACATAAAGATACAGGTAAATTGTAAGCTGTTCTGTATAGTTTGAATGCCAGTGTTACTAGTCAAATGTTACTACAGGATTTGGTTAGCCAGCTATTAACTTCACCCTGACTGGGGAAGTAGCAGAGGAAGTAGACAAGTTTTGCTACCTGGGTAGCTATACCTCACCTGGCGGACGGGGCACAGATGAGGTATCCGCACGCACAGAGGAGGCTCGGTCGGCACTTGCCAACTTGAGACATTTGTGGTGCCACTGCTGCATCTCGTTGTTGGTGAAGGGTTGAGTGTATGCTGCAGCGGTTCGGCTAGTTCTGCTTTACGGCGCAGATACTTGACCATTACGGGAACAGAATAAAAATAGACTGTCAGTATTCGAACACCGCTGTCTACGTCGCATTGCACGAGTCTGGTGGGGAAACCGAACAAGCAATGCTGAGTTAGGCGTAGAGTTTTAGGCAGTCGCGGTCGTCCACTAGAGCAAGTGATCGACCTCCATAGATTACGCTGGTTGAGACATGTGCTACGCGTGTCACTAGATAGATTACCAAGGCTGGTAGCGGTTAGAAAGAAATGAAGGGCGGTGAAACTAAGACATGATGAGGGTATGAAAACCCTGACCAGGGGACTGGCTCACATAGGTGCCGTTAGGCCCTCTGACTAGGGACCCGGAGATCATGATCACCGGTGGTTAGAGACACTGAGCGATGTGGCTGGGTGTCGCAAACAGCGGCGCTGGTGCATCCACTCATTATTCCCCTTTCACTATTCTATATGAATCCTCCATCTTCCGCTTGAATTTGTTTTCAGCATTCCCATCTTTATTCTACTGTTTTATCCAAATGGTGCACGAAAAGACAGCAAACAAAAGCGGCACACGAAAGTGCATGGTTAATTGTTGTAAAAAACTGAATGTTTTACTTTTCAATTGCACTTGCAAGAATACGCTTTCGTGAAGAAGAGTTTGTCGTCAACTCAAGCGTTCGACAGAGTTCTATCCAATTGCATTATCGAGTAGGTAATGCACCGGGCGCTCACTGAACACTCCGGTGTCCAGATAGGCTCCGATATGTTTTGTCGGATTCGTAATTTACAATCGCCACCGTCATCGTAGTAGACAGTCTAG